CTAATTATTCCTTCACTTTATACGATATAACCCGAATTGTCCAAAAAATAATTTTTTTACAACAAAACAATTTCAGGTCGAAACTTCGAGGGGTGGTTTCACCCCTTAAAGTCGCGTCTCAACTGATAAAAAAAATATGTATCCCTTATTTTTGACTGCTTAACAGACATACGAAGTTTCATAAAAATCGGAGAGGGACACTTCCGTGTTTTCCCTTGTTAGTTTCGACTCTCACTGTATCTGCAGATCGCGATCGCTGGATCAATCACGAGAATATAATCTTTTCGCTATTCGCCGTTATCACATTTCACCGGGAAACGTTTCTTGCTATTACATACCCGGTTTTATTCGACGCGCATTGGCGAACCGCAGGAATTCACTAGTGAAAGACGTCTACTAGTAAAAGGGAATTCCCCCTGGGCTATGAAACGCAGTCAATGATGAGAGGTCATCCAAGCGTATCCTCATGTAATATCCTTTCGTAAACATAATATGTAATAGGCGTTGCGGAAAGTTTTGTAGGCTTATTCATTCAGAATTACTTTATTAAAATGAGATTTATAGTACAAATTTTATTAATTTATACGTTTCGCATGCTTCTGTTTAATATTGATCAATCCTTCAGGTAATTTATACATTCCATTAGAGAAGAATGAATGGAAAGACAGAAGTTAGACTATTAAACCTAAAGAACTTTTTCTACCGACTAATGCGTTTATTATTCTTTTCTAGGATGTAAATTTCTTTTGGAAGAACGAAGATCCATAGGTGTCCGATAACTTAACGATCTACACTAAATAATTGGTTTATTATAAAACCGATGTTATATATGTAGTCGTAGAGTTTGTGCCAATAGAATGCAAATATTATTCTCTGTATAATATCAATGCTATCGAATAAAATTTCTTGTGCAATTAAAATAAACGTAGTGCAATGAGATTCCCACTAAAAGTCAATAAAGGAGGTCGAGGAAATCGAAAGATTTCCAGGATGTTACGTGTACGATCTTTCGAGTTCCCGTCGTTATGTTGTGGTCGTCAATTGTCTTTATGATTAATCTCTGCAGAATAGATCTCGTAGATCAACGTGTACACAGGAAGTAACGATTTAATATCCAATCGCTTTGTCACTGTCGTCTGGATTTAAATTGTGCCCGGAGTCGCAGGACCTTTGCGCGTGTTTTAAATTCTTCATCCAGTGTTCGTTGTTCGCGATAGTACAATAGTCGAAATCAATTAACGCAACGCTACTGAATTGTACGGTGACTCGTATAAACGAGGTCTTGGTCTTTTAAACAGCATTCTCGATTGGCCACAGTTATTCGAATGACGTAACGGTAGCAGGCTTCTTTTGTGAGGATGAACGCGAAACGTCGAACGTTTTTTCCCCTTTAAGCAAGAACGTCCAGCGTTAGGTAGGTCAAGAATTGACAAACGCAGTTTGCAAAATAGGGTAAACCAACCAATAATTGACTGCATACCAATGAATGACCATTAGGAAAGAAATGTAAATTATAAATTTAAAAATTATTAAATGTTTATGAATGGAGCGAAATATCAGAAGAAAATGAACTTGCATTCTAAAAGCTACAATTTATTTCGACAAATTTACAAGATTCTTAATACAACTGTTATCCGTCCAATAACTTAATTCTACTTAAACATCAAATAAATGCATCGGTTGATAGTACATAGCCTTAATAACATTAAATACTAAGTAAATACAATTGTAAAACTAAACAAAATATTAGATATTATTTTTAAGTACTGTACGATTCAATATGGCAACGTATTCGAAGAAGTCCAGAAGCAGAAGAATTCCAATTCCAATATTCAATCGTGGAAAACCACCGCTTTCATTACTTCTGAACTTTCTACTTCTCTGTTATCTTAACATCCAGTTGACAAATTTGCTTTGTTCATTTAACCCTTAACTATGTAGTCACGTATTGTCTATGAGCCTACTTCATTTACACATTTCCTGGTTATTCCAATGAGCACCTGTCACGCTGTTATGGTTTTTCGAAAACTAACGTTAATATATCACACAAATATGTAAACATTCAATTTATGTCGATTTCTAAGAAATTTTGTCCAAGAATTTCGTTCTTCTGAACCAAATGATCGTTTTGTTTATGAAAAATTCACGTGTTCGGTTAAGGGTTAATAAAAAATATTCTCCCAAGTATGTATTTGGGACCTATCAGCGACCTGCTTGGCGGGCCATTAAAACGGCTGTTCCTCCTCCTCGAAATCGGCGTCCCGCCTGAACCGGAATCCACCGTTCAGACCGAAAGTGGGCGACGGTCTGCCGCCAGGGCCGCGTTGAACTTGACCGAATCCACCGATGAAACCGTTCTTGTAATTACGTTCCAACTGGAGGCCCACATGCGGTTGCGGCGACTGTCCTGGACGAATGTTCAGTCCACCGAAGGCGTCCGCGGTCGCGCCATTTCTATCGTAGATACGGTGGTTGTAATCGACGTCCAGAGATGGACGACGGTCCGGACCACTCAAGGGCTTCGTTGCCTGAACGCTGACCGATCCCTGAGGATCAGCCTCGCGTCTGAAACGGGCTTGGACCTGGAAGAATCGATTTTTATAGTTCCATAAATGGAAAGAATAGTTGGATTTCACAACGGGAATCGATGGTTTGATTGGTGGACTGATGATGTTCAGGGTGATATAGAATTTTCTGAAATGGTTGGTCGAGGGTACCAGTAGGTTCGATATAAAAAGAAGGCAAGGGCACCAGTAGGTTCATTATGAAAAGAACATTTGAATAAACTTTCTGACCGTTTTTACAACATATACTGAATTTTACAACTAATTTTTTTAAAACTAAATGTATCATCACCGTGGAAGTAATAAATAATTACATTTATATAGTACACTAAAGGTAATTAAATATTGTACTATACAAATCAAGAAGAGATTAGTTAGAGAACAATTCAAATATTCAAGCTCCTACGATAACAAAATTTACTCAGTATCGAATTTAAGTGTTAAATATAATTACCAATACAGAGAGTAGAGAAGATCGAATATTATGTACTTACATAGGGCTCTTGTAGATACTCAAAGTCAGCCTGAGCAACTGTATATGCGACTGCAGCAAAGAGGACGAATGCTAGGCTGATGAACTTCATGTTGAAATCACTGGTTACTTCTCTTCGAACGTTTAAATCCAATATTTCTGATGCACTCGAGTCGAGCTGTGTGATGTGTGTGCCATGTTCAGCAGAAAAACCTTTGTATCAATTCCATCCGGGGGATCACCGTCGGCTTCTTATCCGGTTTTATCTATTCCTCTCTACATTCAATTCTCCTCGGAGACCGCGGGGAACTCCACGTTTTCGGTCATCGGGGGTCATCGTACATATTCGATCGCATCACGCGACGCGTTCGATTTGCATCGAATTCGCGATACTTTCGATCAATTTAGGGATAGGGCTTAAATCCTCATAGAATAAAGACTGCAATTGACTTCCATTGTTTTGGATACGTTTGTGTTGAAGATTATACAGTCTTGAAAAGATAAAACGGTATGGAAAAATACACTTACTAACAAATATTAACAAGAAAACTAATTAACCGAGGAACTTATAATATATATTTTTCATAAATCGCGAAATTGGCATATAGTGATTACAGTACATATTTATGTGCATTTATGTATATTTATATACATTGACACATCCCTACGCAATTCTTAACAATTTCTTCCCTCGACAGACGTCACGAACGAGCTCATCGTGTCTCAATAATTCTGCAAACAGAACACGGAGGGGGAACTGTATAAAGGGTTTATCGCTTGCAAAATGTTTGCACCTTTGGAAAAAAGTTATCTATTGTTTATTCAATGAATACAGAGCATTATGGATGTCGAAGAACAATGAAAACGATAGAATACTGTGTGCTATTTCATATTCGATTTCGTAGTTCGTAATTACGTGCTAAAAGGTGATTTTCGAATTCTCTGCGAACGTCGGGGAAGTCCATAGAGGCTAGGTTCCCCAGAATTTTTATTTGTCACCGTGCCTCAGATCATTCATCCACTCGCGAGGTGCGTCATATGGTTTGACTATTATCGTTTGTCCGGACGCAAACAGTAATTAATCATCTCTGTGTCTCTGTGATACGCGTTTGTCGTTTGTGTGGTTTCATCTTGTTCTTCCCCGTGCATCTGGCTCGTCTGCAAAAAACGGCTAATTCGCGATAACGATTCACGACGATATCCTCGATATTTACATTTAGCCATTCGATCGTTAAAACCGCAGACAGACGTGACCTAATGGGAGCTTGGTATGTTCATCTTTAAATTATGAATAATTAGTCAATTTTTGGCAATACGTAGATTTCTTTTTTTTTTTTTTTTTTTAAGCTTAGAGTCGCATCAAATACGAGGTTATTAGTGACAGAATAATATTATTTGTTTGTTTACATTATCATTTTACTATTGTATAATTTTACCGGAAGAAATAATAGTGCAAGCTTTATTTATAATACAATTGATACCATTTTTATCTTGCAGTTAGTTTATATTGTTTAACTTAAACGATACGAAAAACACCTATACGTATACCGTATGCATAGAGTATGGTCAATCGGTTATAGCAATGTGTATTTATACGGCAGTTTCGTTGTCTCCAATTACTATTCACTACACTCAATGGCTAGGACGTTTAATAAGGTTAATGGGTTTTGCCATGTTACGTGTTACGAATGACAAAGGCACCTTTAAAAAAATCTTCTTGACTCGACTGCTTCGTTGTAATACTCTTTCAATTGGTAAACAAAGCAAATGTTTGTTACGACTATTTGGGTCGTAGAGGGTCTGATCAGACTGTCCGAAACTACTTCCAAGGGCGAAGGGTCCGCCATTTTTTCGCCAGTAGGGATACGTTTGTACATAACGAGTTATAAACGACTGATTCGACATTGCACGTTAACTAAGGACAGTTGCACATTAAATAATACAGGCTTCCGTTTCTGTTTCAGGTGAATTTCCTGTTGACACAGTTCACAGCGCTGTTATTGGCCGGATTTTTGAGAAGATTCCTTAACCCAAACGTAGTCTCAGCAGCTACCAGACATGTATTCGGTCTGATCATCGGTCTCACGCTTGGATACTTCTGCTTCGGCAGGTAAGTGTCAGTCGATCTCATTGACAATTAATTCCTGGTCAATAAAACATGTGTTTCACTAGCTGAATGAAAGTTTTAATGTAAAATCAAGGGAGTGTTTTTTTTTCAAAATGTAATTTTATGTGTATTTCTTTTAGTTGAACATTATAGTTTTTATTGTATGTAACTTCTATTGTATTAGAATTTAGATGGTCTTGTTGAATTCTAGACAAACCATGTACATATCCTGTACGAACGGAACCAAATGCAATTTGCTAAAAAAAATCGTATCTTTTCAGGCAGGCGATACATCTTGCAGGTCTCCCCGCATTATGTTACATTGTAATGCGCACACAAAATCCTCGCAATTTGCAGAGGCAAGTTATGCACAATCTTTTACGATTTATATGAATAATTATACATATACTTGGTAGACTCAGAACCTAACTTAAGTAACAGAACTCAACAGTTTGCTTTTAGTCATTTAAAACCAGTTCTGTGCTGAATAATACAGTTTAGATGAGCAAGGAATTTTTGCATGCATACACGCAAAAATTATGAAAATCGTTTCATGTAAAAATGTAGTCTGTCTTTCCTGTTCTGTATTTAAAACATTTCTACTTGTGCCAATCATTCCTGCAGAATTACTAACATGACCTTTACTAACATCTAGAAATATGTAGATTTAATAGACATCGTGATTCAGTACAACTTATTTTAATTCTTTTGCAACTCTTCCAATCACGAATTTTAATGTAAAAATTCATTTCATTTACCATTCAAATACAATAAACGTCTCGAAATATACTGTCTATAAATACAGATTTGCAAGTATGTATCTACTTATATTCCTGAAGCATTGGACTTTATTGGAACACAAAGTTGTGTTTTCAACGTTATCACGATGTACACGCAATAGGGCAAATGCCACAATTACTGCCACTTCATTTATTTTACTTAATAAAAACACAACGAATAAACAATTGTGTACAAACAATTTTACTATTAAATTGGGACTCTGATTTACACAAAACCAAAGAAATATATGTATTTGTATGCACCTGGTATTTAAGAATTAATATTGATGAATGAAAGGAGGAATTTGAGCATCAAAAACGCGACTACGTATGTAGGAAGTGATAGTGAAAACGTACTAAAGTTACATAACATACATAAATTACAGTGCATTAGTGACATTAATTTACATACTCCTGGCAAATCTGTTTTCACGGTACAACGCAAAATGTATACATATTCAACAATCGAAACATTTTCGATTTATGATCTTGAAACTTGATCTGAAATGCAAGTATGCAACGCGCTACCGATAACCGTGACATAACGTCGCGTCGAACGGGTAACAAGTAAACATCAGATTATTAAAGACGGAAGCCATTTCACGTTCATTCGCTGTATATGTACACACCACGGTCAATGATCGTTCCTTGAACTTAAAACATTAACTCTCTCATTCCGTTGACACGTTTCAGGATTGTACTGACGACCGCGCTGTTCTATCTGTCTTGCGTGCATTATCATCGACAGATCTACAATTACGGCTCGTACACTCTAGATATCACCGGTAAGTACGCGAGGCACATCCCCCACTTCCCTACCCCTTCCGGATGATCATCACGCGAGAAATTCAGTTTCATTTGTCACGCGACGTATCAAGTGACGGCTGTCAGAAATTCGATCCAACCGGCGATTTGCGACTCCAATTAGACATGTAAATAGTAGGGAAGGGAACGGGGGCGTTATCGATAACATCTGATTTTCCTTTAATGACTACAATACAACATCTATGTCTTATGTCCATCTGTCGTACAGAGTCAGTCACAATTGTGTTGAGGAGCTCATTTTGTTCAGTTGGTTAGTTCAGTAGTTAAAATTTATTGAAAAAAGGTTGACCCTTAAAAAAATTTTTAAATTTTCAAAAATCCTTCAAGATACGTTTATATGTATTCGCTAAGAACCACAACATATCCAAATGTGAACAAAATCCGAAATGATTTTTTTTCGAGAGTTTCGATGGTTGGAGAAACCCATTCCTAAATTATATACAAACAGAAGAAAACCATGACGTAATATACAAATTATGAGATATTACAACAGTGTAGCTGTGAAAACCTATTTTTTATTTTTGTATTTTTCTAAACTGACCCTGCGTTTTCAATTGTTCCCTGCACATATAGTTAGAGCAGCGAGAGTACATCAGGTGAACAGAGTTAATGAACCGTTTGGTATACTTATAGGGTAAATTGTGCGTGTTACAGGGCCGTTGATGGTGATAACGCAGAAGGTAACCAGCCTTGCGTACAGTATACATGACGGGTTAACGCGACGCGAGGAGGAACTGACGCCAACGCAGCGTCATCAAGCCGTGAAGTGAGTTGACGTCTTCTTCCACCGGGCGTTTCTTCCGGGACACTAATCGAATACTATAAAATGTACTACACCCGAGTACATTACTTATCGAATAATACACAACACTTTCATTCACGATTTACGAATCATCGTGCGGTAACACACATACATCTATCGTGTTTACTGCGATAAAAATCATTATGCAGTATTCGTTTCAGAATGATGCCCAGCACATTGGAGTACTTCAGTTACGTCTTCCATTTTCAAGCTCTGATGGCCGGCCCGGTGATATTGTACCGCGATTACATGGATTTCATTCAGGGACAGAACTTAGCCGGAGCGAAACCTCTGACGGTAAACACGATTATATGATTTCTGTTCTACAGGCTTATCTGGGGAAGGATACAACAGCTTACGAGCTTTTTCTATGTGTAATAACAAAGAACATTCGGAGTCTGATTCGTGTATTTGAATAGATTGGGTACTATTGTTCAGGGTACACCTGTAAAAAAGACTGTCGTTATTACCGTGTCAGTCGTATTTTTTTTTATCCTTTCCGCTTCTTTATAGATCACTCTATACGTAACCTAGGATTGAAGCTGAATTAGTGTGAATTCACATTTCAGGGCTGCGACATGAATTCCGGTTGTTACAGCGAAATCGTCCTGGAACCATCGCCGGCGTTGGTCGTTGTTAAAAAGGTGATCGTGAGCTTGTTGTGCGCGGTCATGTTTGTGACATTTATTCCGAGCTACCCGATCCAGAAGCTGAAAGGTTCGAAACCCCCGCAGTTATTTGTTCGGTATTCATGCCGCGTACCATTTCTGACGAATGCATGGTCTGCTTACAGAGGAGGACTTCCTGGAGAACACCAACATGTTCCAGAAGATGTGGTATCTGACGGTCTTGACCATGCTGGCACGGTTCAAGTATTATCACGCGTGGATATTCGCCGATGCCATTTGCAACAATTCTGGCCTCGGTTATAACGGACAGGATGAAAACGGGAAGCCCAAATGGGACCTGTATTCTAACGTGGATGTTTATGGTTTCGAGGTATGGTGTCACCCATGTGGTTTGGTTGTGTTTCAATGTGTCCAGGGTGAGACTAAGAAGTACCATTAATGAATTATATGTATTTTAATCTTCAGATGTCTCTTAGTCTGCGGGACAGCATTGAGCATTGGAACAAAGGAACCAATAGGTGGCTTAGATCTGTTGTATATGAAAGAGTCAAGCATAATAAACTTATATTCACGTATGCCCTGTCTGCCTTGTGGCACGGATTCTATCCTGGCTACTATTTGACATTCGCCAATGGAGCCTTCTTCACTTTGGTGTCACGGGTTGTGAGTGAATTTTAAATAATATTTAAAAGAATGTTTATTTCTCCTGTGTTTTTTGTTTAAATAATTGTACAAGACAGTTACATGGAGCGTTTAATGTTTCCTTGTTTGAAAACAGGGTCGTCGTAATATTCGACCACATTTCTTGGGGTCCAAGAACAAAAAGTTCCTCTACGATGCGCTTACGTTCACCGCAACGCGAATCCTAATGCCCTACATCACATTAAGCTTTATACTCTTGGAATTCGTACCAAGTATCCGATTGTACCTGTAAGTAACAGTATAATACACGCCTAGTACAGTGTACAGGGTGTTCTAATAAATTCTCTGACACCCGGTGTATAGTATACATTGATAAATCGAGTTATGTCTGTTACGATCTAATAACACGTTCGTTTTCCAGGTATATATACCTGATCCCACATATAGTGGGTCTAGCTATAATAATCATCGCACCTCGTCTTCCGAAGATACCGTCGAGCAAGAAATTTGTCGACAAGGAGTGTAACGTTTCTCAGGAATTAATTAACGGGACCGCTCGCAAAACAATGTAAGCTGTATTTTTGACGCGACCGGAATACTACGGTCATAAAAGAAACATATTTTTTATGAATGTTTTGATATACACATAAATATTATGAATATGTATATATATACATATATATATATATATATATTATATACACACGCGCACACACATACATGTACGTATGATATATTTATTGTTACGACTTGTTACTGGTACAAAGTCTATGTCGAAGCGTGTATAAAGTTTAATTGTTTTATATAACGTGAATGAGTATATCGTATATTTATGAGTGTCTCGTGTATATGTTGAGAGAATTATCGACAGGTTTGCCGTTCGAACGTTCTAGACACCCGGTGGCATTGTTTTACAGATTTTTATTTGTTCGCGCGAAAACACGGTAGTCTTCTTTAACATTTTTCGCGTTCCTTTGCCCGCCCCCACTTCCTATTTAAAATGTTATGCTAAGAATATAATTAATAGATTGTAACATTTACGTAGGACGCGACGCGCAGTTTTAATTCTAAGAGTTTCACAAGCGATTTTACAGTTTTATACTTTTAGTATGTGCAACGATACCGCTATATTGATTTTAAATAAATCTGAATATTTATTTGTTAAATTCTATATTGGCCATTTCACTGATAGTTAACCCACGTTTGATCTGGTCGTCGGAAATTATGAGACGGATTGGAATGCTCTTGCGGACCCATTACGTAAGTACATCGGTACATGTTAATGACGCACGCTCTGAAAGTAAAGATCACGTTACTTAATAGTGTCTAACTCTAAGGTATTCCAGAGCAAATTACATATTTTCACAATTTTACATTACACTGTCATTTATGGTCCTCGTGAGACTACGTAGACGTAGACGAATACGTACGTATTTCTTCAACCTAAATAAATATTGACACTAGGATACAGCCATATTGAAATGTAAACTTATTTTATTAAAAAAAGAAATACTTAACATTTAGGAATCCTTTTTTCTAACATCACAGCTTAGATCGTTCGATGATAAATTTAAATAAATTTTAATTAGATATATGCCTTTCTCTTAGTTTCTATTTACACAAAATACTTAAATATTTTAAATGATATAAGAATCTCAAAAATGTCTTCTAAAAGTTTCGTAAAATTCGTTCTCCTTCAAGATTCGTAAATTGTAAAATCCCTCTCACCCCGACGCCATCGCTCTCCCACGTGCGTTAGTATTTGTCGACTCGCTATATAATGGCAAATACGAGCATTCACTGACACTTTCCACTACTATTTTCATTTGCTGCCTAATGGAATATCGTCTTTATAATCGGGTAAAGAGAAGCACCGAAACTGCCCCGCACTCCCGAAGCCCTATTATACGGGGTACCAGCGGCCACTTGGCTGGAAGAACCCTCAGTGCGATCATCGCGATCGAGCCGCGACGATCCCCCATGATCGCTGATTCCGATAAATACGTGCTCCTCCGATCCACGAGAAAATGGTAAATCAAATCGTTTGATCGTTGACATCTCTCGTAACGATGCACCGAACACAGTGAAAAAAGTAAAATAAAACGTACGAAGATCTGAATCTTCAGATATTGGATTTTAGTTAAAGGCTTTGTATTAGAATTGAATGTGAAAGATTAGTATGGTGGTGAATTTTTGCATATTATCTTCTCTTCGATTATTTTCGTACACCCTCATGGTGTTTACGTTAATTAGTTACGTGAAGAAGTTTTCCAGATCTTCTGGTTGCCGGGTATCGAAGAATACTATGTACATATCATTCGCGAAAAGTAATCGAAGCTATTAAAATCGTGTTACAGTGGACAGTAAGATTTCGAATTTATAAAAATAATTCGTTAACGAAACAGTACGTAAAGGTTGAAAATAAAGTCTCCAGAACTTGTTAAATTCATCCGAGAATATTTTTAAGATCGAAATTCTGATTATTTATGCACGTACCGGTAAGACTAACAAAATTATTCGAATTGGTATAGAAGAGATATTCGAAAAAAGGGACGAACGTTCATCGAACGTACCGACACGTGTACCGGAAAAATTCTAACATGGCGACCGATAATTGGCTTGCTTACGAAATACAATATGGAATTTAATTACATCACGGGAATCACGAGTCGAAGCACGTTGCTGCATTAGTGTTGTGTCATTTAATCGGATAAATTTTGCTATATGAACTTGAACTATAACATAACGGTTGATGTGACATCACGTTCTTCGTTAAATCATTCAAAACTACGTTTCTCTTAAAATAATATATTTAAGCAAAGAAAATAAAATTATTTAACCTGCTAATGTCCTTCTCATCGATAAAATTTTAAAATAGGGGTTACAAAAAAACGTTCTATTTAATCCATTGCTGGGGACGGGCTATCTAGCGAGAGCATTAAAGTTAATGAATGGTCAATTATTAATATTAATAGACCTTGACTAATTCGCAGAACTTGTCAACAATGGTGAAAGTGGGGTACATTCTTGTCTTTGTCACTCTGTTGCTGATGATGTGGGCGTCCATGGTCCGGATGCACGAGCTGCCCGTACAGTATCCGCCCTGTTTCTTCAATCCCCTTTGCACCTGTTCGAAAGCCATTCCTGATCTCGGCATAGTCACCTGTTACAATGTCCCGATGCCGCGGATACCCCAGCCGATTAATTCCTCGAAGGTGTTCATGCTCCAACTGGAGAACAATGGCCTGATGTTCTTGCAACCGCAGTTTCTCATGAACACAGGTACAGCGACGTAATACATCGGGACTCCGTTGACATAATCGTTTGTGCATAATATCGATTCCATGACGCGAATTCGAAACTTTTTGAAACATACGAAAGAGACATTTTTTCTTTACTGGGATTCAAAATTTCGATTGAAAATTAAATACATTCCAGTCGAGGACTTTATTCCATGATTTGGGCTATTGATATATATAACTTTAGATGCCTTGTGAACTTACGAAATCAAATAAATTAAGTATGATATAAGTATAAGTTATATTAAGTATGATATATAGTTATCCGGTCCATCTGAAACACTGTGCTTCCTTTTTAAACATACTTTCGAACACGATCATTAAAAAACACCTGCTTTTTGTATATAACTAAATATATTATATTTACAAATCGATGAGTTATTTACGGTTCTTCAACACTCGAGTCTAAACGGACCCGGCCACCGTACTCCAAGGGTTAAGAGAAGTGAGAAAACCCTATATTTGCACTTGCCTTCATGAATTACTTAAGAAAATCTTATTTCGCATAAAAATCCGTCGTCTAGTGATCAGGTTACGCGGTTTGTATTTGAAAGTGGAAGATAATTCAGTTTTAACGATTGCTCGATCATTATTATTATCACCAAGCGTGACAATGAGGAGTATATAAGGGACAGAGGGCATCGACCGCGCGTCACGAATAATTGCATCATCGATTACGTTACGGGTAAACGATACATGCCAGTTCAGTGTCCACGTTACCCCGGTATTCCCCTATCTCTCCAGGTCTGTACAACCTACGGATCAAGCATAATCCCCTGGCCGACATCCCGGACGAAGCTTTCCTAGGGCTTGAGAGATCGTTATGGGAGCTCGAATTACCCTACAATCGCCTCGAGAGGGTACCCAGCCGGTCGTTCAGGCATTTGCAGAAGTTGCAACTTCTCGATCTGACAGGTATTTCTTCCTATTTCGACGGCACCCGTTGTATCGTCCTCCTCCTGACCGCGTTTTTCAAACGATCGTTCAACTGGCATTCTGCTTTTGAAAATTTCACCTTTGTGGTTCAGAAGTAGAACGTCGAGAAAACCGTTAATTTCAGATTTTCAGATCATTAGCTGTTTAACACATGTTTCATGCCTATCGAATCATGATATTTGGCTTTGACATAATAATATTGGCATAATAAATTTGACATAATAATAAGCCTGAAGAAACAGATTTATGTTTTCTCCACTTATTTGCAAATTTATTCCACTTCAGTATTTTGAAGTACTTTAAAATTATAATCATTCAAATTAAATTGGTAAAATTGATACAAAGTAAAAATCTTAATATCATAAATAAATATTATTTAAATATTATTTAATTGTTGATTGAATTCATGCATCCTGCAACAGGTAACAAAATATCGAAGATAGCCGCGGACAATTGGCGTGGTCTGGAGAATTCTTTGCAGAAGCTACGTCTCGGTCGAAATGCGATCGATCGACTTCCGGCCGACGCGTTCGCCGGGCTCACGTATCTGGATATGCTCGATCTACGGGAGAATAATTTGAAGGAGATCGATCCGTCGGTGTTCAGGGACGGCATGGCTCATCTGGTCCACCTTTATCTGAACGGCAATCAACTGACCCACATCCCGTACGCACAGTTGTCGTCCCTGAAACGGATGAAGATCCTGGATCTGAGTTACAACAGGATATCGAGGATGCTGAACACGCTGCAGGAACCGGAAATACGGGGACTTCAGATGTCTCTGGACACATTGCGGCTGGATTACAATCATATCGAGATCCTAATGCCCGGGGACTTCCAACACTTTTACAAAGTCAATAAAACTTACCTCGACGGGAATCCTTTAACTATGATCGAGGTGGGTCCTTTTAGGGCATTTGGTTCTTTCAGTTATGCAAGTTTTTTATCGAATTGGAATCAACGTTAAAAAGGATCACAGTCTATTGTTAAATATCACGTTCTAGGAAGGAACGTTCAGGGACTCGAAGATACGAGAACTGTATTTCGCCGACTGCGACCTAATGGACGTGAGTTCGGTGAATTTCGTCGGATTGGAATCGTCCTTGGAACTGCTTGATCTCTCCGGGAACAATATCACCAACCTTCCGAGCCCCATATTTCAGGAATACGATTTCCTTCGGACTTTAAGCTTCCGTGAGAACAAGATCCAGAACCTCTCGCCAGGTATTAAAATTGCAAACATCTCCAACGTACGTGTAACTACGTTTGAGATTCTTTTGAAAACTAATCTCCTTATTCTTTTCAATTCTGTGTCCGACAGCCGAAGTGTTCAATGGTTTCCAATATTCCCTTTACAATCTGGACCTGAGCGGCAACGAGAACAGCCTGATATCCCTTCAGGATCTACGACAAATGCGTAACACGCGTTTCCTGTCGATTTCACGGATGCCACAGCAGACCCTGATGGCGGAGAATTTCATGGAGTACGGGATGGACATCAAGGAACTGCGTATCGTGCAAAGTAACGTAAACACCATCAAGAATCACGCTTTCATGCACGTTCGCGGGATCAAGTATCTCGATTTCTCAGAGAATTCTATTACCACGATCGAGGACGAAGCCTTTTCCGAGGTAAATACATTATATACATACCCACTTTTTTTTTTTTTTTTAAAGAAACAGGCAACAGTTATAACTATATTGTAATTTTTATTGTAAATTTAGTATAGTTAATTACAATGTCATTGTAATTGTCTTGCAATTACATTTTAATTGTGGTTTGGATTTTGTAATTAGATTACATTTTTCCCAACTTTGCTGTGAAGTCTAGTACTTCGTATCAAGTGCTCGCCCCTGTATATGTATACATACCTGATAAAATAGTTTTTCTGGTAGTATTATTCATATAATGAACATTGTATAATTTAATCGTTGCAATTGTTCAATATTCTCTGTCCGTCGAAAGGCGATTTTGCATTAATCACGTGCAATTTGTAACGTTCCGAACGGGCAACCCTACAAGATCTCGATACGTCCGATCGATAAGAATCAGTGAATTGCCCTAATATTTAAGTAAACTAGATTCAGACTGCATCCATAGAGGCCTTGATAGTCGTGGGTAGCTCGAATAAATCGGGCTTCTAGAAATCCCCGTGTAACAAATATTCGACACGTTTACGAACGGGGGTGTTTCTACCGTAAATCAACCCCCTTTTGATCGGCCGGAATTCCACCCTTTTGTCATGTCTACAAGTACCCAAGCAGAATTCACCTTTATAAAGATTTCAATTCTTTACGTAACACTCGTAAAGTTTAAATTTCAATCGTAAAAGATCAACTTTAAGGTGTTATTTTTTTTCTAGGTGGGCCATTCGCTTCTGACGCTAAGAATGTCGCACGGCCTGTCGTCCTCTTTCACCGAAATACCAAACAAAGCGTTCAAGTTCCTGACGAATTTGCAACACCTTGACTTCAGCAACAACAAAATCAAATCCATGCCGGACACCACGTTCCACTTCATGAAGAGGATCAAGCGTATCGAGTTGCAGGACAACGAAATCGACTTTATCACGAAGGGAACGTTCCAGGTAATTTCGGATTTGCCGAATTTTATATTCCATATTTAACGAATTTTCTGCAGCTTCGTTATGATCGTAGAATAGAAATAAAATTTCGGTTGTTGAAGAGTGTTGCCTTTTGTATTCAGGGTGATATACATTCGACCCTCGAGGAAGTGAATTTCGCGTATAATAAGATCAAGGGAATCTATACCCACACGTTTGCCGACCTGCCGAGATTAACGGCGATAAATTTAGAGGACAACGCTATAGATCAAATCGGGAGGCGGTCGTTTATGAATTTGAAGCTGTTGAAGTATATTAATTTACGGGGCAACAAGCTAAAGGACATCACCGACGAGGCGTTCCAGGTAACAAAACTCCGATTTCTATGGAACAGAGAAATCGATAATTCTCAACAACTTTGTCCCTGCAATTAATAATCTCAATGAAACGTGCACTTCCATATATGTAGTTGCAATTATACAGACACCAGTTCTATAATGTTCACTTCGAGATAATATCTGGAAAATAGTTGAAAGTTTATAAAAAAAAAGTTTATTTCACATTTCTGTTCGAATGTGGAATTAATCACACTGAAACGCACTGGCTGTATTTAATGAAGCATTGCAATTATTTCCGTTCAAGAATCTTCCGGATCTAGAGTTTCTGGATCTCGCTTACAACGACTTGGGCGAGTTCGATTTCGCCTCGTTCGATCAAGTGGGAACACTGTCGTCGTTCAAAGTGAACGCCAGCCATAACGAGATCCCGAAATTGTTTATCAATACCACCACGTTCACACCGCCGACGACCAGTAAGTCCGTTGTTAAATACTTTGGACGTTGCTCGTTTAACGCTCGTAAGCAGATTTCCTTAAGCTGGCTAAACAAAAGTCGATGAAACCCCTGGCTGTTACAAATCGAAAGGGACGCAGCTACCAATCCGTCCGTGCTTCTTCGACGGAATGTGTCACGCGAACGGAAAATCTATTTAAGCTATTTTTTTTTTATTAAGCACCATTTAAGCTCTTCTTCGACGGGTTCGTTGACACGTTACCTCGGACTGTCCCGTGTTCCTCGAAATTTCCTCGAAAATCAAGGTTCAATACGAGTATAGTTCTAATTATTATATTCTAATTCCCTTCGTATAGTTTCAGTATTCAGGGCTGACAACGCGTTTATAGAGAACGACGGACACAATTTTACAATCGTTTAAACATACAAAAGTATCTTGCAAATTGTAATAGAATATTTTTTCAAACGATATTTTATCGTTTGCTGAATACCTTTAATTGGTATTGTGTATTAACATTTGTCTATTTTGGTGTTTTTAAGTAATATTACATTCTTAATAGATAGTAAAAAAGAAAGGACTGGTGGCGCCATCTACGACAAAATGCTTAAGTTGTTAGCCAATTACATAGTACCGTAGTTATATCGAAGATGGCACCATGGGTCTTTTTGACCATTTCCATTGTGTATAAAATAATTCATTATTAATTTAAAAAATATCAAGTAGCAATTGTTATTCGTGTAATAAAGCTTCCCTGATTGTTTTTACCCTATAATTACTACTTTACACTCATAAAATATCATACAGTATTGACTACTGTTCATTTCTAAGTAAGATATAGCGTTAATTTTATTTACGACAAGTATTCTTTACGAAAACACCTATAACACTTTAATTACTTATTTGTCTGGTCACAGTCGGCGGCGCGTTACAATCGAACATCAAGGTCCTCGATCTCAGTTACAACAACATCTCCGATATAATGAAATATTACTTCAAGCCTGTGGAGTACTCATTAACGCACCTGTACCTGTCTCACAACCAATTGACCAACGTCACGCAGGGCATCTTTGGGAACATGCCGCACTTACAATGGCTCGATTTGTGTCACAACGAACTGATGGAAATTGATTTCGACTCCTTCAGAAACACGAAAAATCTACAGGTTTTGCTCCTGTCTTGGAACAACATCATGGACATCCCAGCGGAAGCGCTCAGACCCTTGAGGAAACTAAGAATTGTCGATCTGTCCCACAACAAGCTGAGGTCACTTCCGGAAAATATGTTCTTCGACGCTAGTATAGAGAGTCTGGACATTTCTCATAATCAGTTCATGAGGCTGCCCATCAAGGCCATGTCTATCTCTTCCGCTTCCAGCTTGTCTATACTGGACATGTCTTGGAACACTCTGTCGGGAATCCACACCACCGACGCCATATTCAGATTACGAGTTTGTTTCATCAAAAATTTTTTAATATTTTTCTCTCATATTTTCACCAGTAACTTTTTAATTAATACTTGAACAATATACGTGGCTAGTCAAACTCTTGGTTTTTGACCAATTCTTTTAGTATCTAACTCAACGAACTTTATGGAAAACTATATTCAGGCGATTAGCTTTTAAACATGAGAAATATTTAATGATCGTGTGTTCATTTTAGAGTCTAACGTGGTTGGATCTGTCCTACAATCGTTTAGTGAGGCTCGACGATGGTGTGTTCTCCGACATGCCCTATATGACTCATCTCGACTTGAGTCACAATAAACAGCTGCTCCTGGAGACGCGAGGAAGAACTTTCCACGGTTTAGAGGACTCTCTTCTTTATCTCGATTTGAGCAACATTTCGCTCTTGAGTGTACGCAGATGTAATATGTATTAGGCGCAAACTACCGAAATTTGCAAGTGCAATTTAACCCTTAAAAAAGACAATTTTTAATTTTCACGTTGTAACGTTCTCTTAATGAAAAACGGTTTGAAGATCTATGTTTATTGGAACTTTGTTCTTAAAGTACACTTGTAAATTTTCCAACGATAATTCAGGATCGTTCGCTGATATTGCGGGAATATTGTTTATAGGTGCCAGATTTGCCGTTACGACGACTGCAAACGTTGTATTTGGCAAACAATGAACTGGCATCGATACCACCGGAAATGGCATCGAACTTGACGTCCCTACACTATTTAGACCTGAGCGCCAATGATCTCACGGTGGTGCCATTGATCACGCACACCCTACCGGAACTGAAAACCTTCAATCTGGCGAACAATCCCATCACAGCTGTCACAAACACTAGCTTCCTGGGGATAGCGGATAGTCTCGAGGAGTTGGACATACGACGGCTAGCATTATCGACTTTTGAAGTGAGCTTTTCGTCCAAGACTGTGCAATTTATAAATTCTTTAACGGTGACAAAAGTAATCCTGCATTTTACTTGAGAACGTGGACGTAGCCAGGTTAAAATATTAACACATCGACTGCCACAGTGAAAAAGGCTGTACGTAGCCAGACACGTTATTTTGTTTTTAAAATCATAAATCGTTGAAATTGTATGCGTTTCGTTAATAGAGGCTGTTGATAGTGTTTCAAATTATACTGCAATATTAAATATTACACAAAAATTTTGTAACCCTGTGAAGGAAGGGGGGGGGGGCAAAATTCAATTTTTTTCTGTAGACTGGGGCAAAAGCCACATTTTTTCTTGCCCCCCTTGGCTTGAGGATAATACAAAATGCAAAGAAAAACAAAACAGATACTAACACCTTCCACGTGGCATATTTGCCTGATAGACAGCGGTGAATTAAGTTGAATATTTCAGCAGTATGTAGATCGTGACACCGAACGTTTCTTCGTTTGCAGTCGGGAGCTCTTTGCAAAGCGACCAAACTCCGGAAGCTATATATAACCGCTTACAACGGCGTGAAGAATTTCAACTTCCCCAACATCTTGGAGTATAATCACGGCCTACGGCATCTAGTCATCGACGTAGGTTTAAAATAATCTTCGTTTTATAAATTCTCGTCGGAAATATCTGGATACATAATGCCGATAACCGACCTCCGGTCAATGATCCTAATGATCCTAACGGCAATAATAGAAATAAATCGTAGCATATAGTTTATATATTTAACCGTGAGAATATTGAAGGGGTAGGAAATGTTGACTCAGAGTATATCGATTGTAGGTACAAAATGACACGGACTTGGAGAAAGAGATGAAAGGAAGGTTCCCTTACAAATTGTTCAATATAACGTTAACGGGCCGTGCTCTGAAGAACATACACCCGGACATCTTACATGTATGTATTTCTACTAAAATTTTCCGTTAAATGTTCACTAGATCTTTTGGTGTAATCAACGAAAACTCCACGAAAAGAACTCTATCGCGGAATATTAAACCACAATTTTTAAACAAGCAGAGAATATGCAAGAAAATGAAATATAATTGACAAATAAGTATGTATACAGTTATTTAAATGTTATAGTTACATGTCGGAAACATTGTTCCTTTTGTCTGAAATATTTTTTAATATCGTCAATAGTTTCGGAGATATTCGAGTGGGTAGATTTAAATGGGACACTGTATATTCTGGAAAATCATTTTCTTCTCAGGGAATAAGAAATCCTCATCTCCATTTCGGAATGTACAATACCAGCGTGAGCAGCGTACCGAAGAAGGTGTTCGAGAACGCGGAACATGTCAGAAACGTGACGGTTCATCTTCATCACAGCGATGTGCGAACCCTTCATAATCCTTCAAATGGATTCAGACCGGGGGTTCCAGGGAAACGGTTTCTGTTGAGGCTCACGGTCAGGGGTAGCTACTTCACCTGCGACTGCGACATTGGGTCAGTTCGATTGGCTACGCTTGACTAATCTTCAACCCACCAACCTTTCAAAATCTAGATCACACATGCATACTCGTACTATGGATTGAACAACTACCAGAATAGGATAGAAGAACTGGGTTGAATATTTACTATTAATTAATAATAATTATCATAATAATATGCATTCATTGAAGTCATAGCTAAAAGTAAAATAATCAAGATGCTGTTCAAGAAATGTTTGTTTAAAATACTACCATTCGTGGAGGTCGCATTATAATCGCTAAAAAATATAAATATATTTTTGTTTACTAGAAAAATACAAAATACGAGAGGGTGAAAGGTATCTGGATTTCATACAGATAAGAAGTTACGTTATGTTACATTTCATTTTCAGTAAATGAAAATGTAATCGAGCCATTTTCGAATATTTGAAAATGCTGTTGAACAAAAATATACAGGGTGTTCGCGATAATTTGTAAACGGTAAACATTAGAAGAAAACCGAAGAGAAGGAAGTAGTAGTATATTTATGAACTCGTGAATTGATTTAACGTTTATCATTAAACATTCAACATCGATCACGTCGTTTCTAGATGGATGGAGACATGGCAGAGAAAGCACAGACAATACCAGGAGGATCGATGCACCAGTTACAACGAATTCAAGAACTTCGACCGTGACGAAGAGGACGACGAGTTCGATTGCTGGAACAACGACTGGGACGATGATCTTCGGGAGTCATTTTGCTTGAACAAAAACAACGTCTCGGTGCTAGAGGCATTGAAAAGCGACCTCGAATGCGGATGGAGCGCGGGGACCTACGTCCACGGACTCCATCACATCGTTCTTATTCTCTTTGCCATTCTTACAGCAACGATCTACTAAGCTTTGTCCATTAATATTTTCTACTGTCCATTAACGATTATCCTCTACGAATGAGATCACCATTATTCCGTTTCTCGCGATGCAGACCGGCTTGAAGTGCAAACGTATCGGAAGCGCAACTTTAAAACGAAGATCACTGTCTTTCGAGCACACTTCTGTCGTTTTTCATTTTAGCAGGAGAACATCGTAGATGCGATTACATTCGGGTCTTGATCGGAAAATATTCGCAGTCTGCAAACATTTTCGGACGATTAATTCCTTCTCGTCCTATGGCGGAACAAAGAAACATTTCTTCTAAATAAAAGTAATCCCCTTTTTCATTTTATTTACGTTAAACCTGATTTTCTTCTGTATCTAGGAGGATGAAGGTAGAAAAGTAATTGTTATTTATAGTGTACTGAATAGTAAGTATCAGTATTTATAGTAGAGGTAGTTTATTTACTTATTTATATAAATAATTGAAATAGCGTGTAAGTGTACCGTGTCTACGGTATTTATTATTGCCGTCTATGGTAATTTTAGCGTTAGTCGCGCGAACAGTAATCGCATCTATGGTTGTTGCTTCGTGTTTTTTTTTTTTTTTTCATCGATCGGTCAAAGAGTTTTTTAATTTTAAATAGGAAAAACGGTCTCGTTTGCATTTTAATCGGACGCCACAGCGAGGAAACAAAGCTCTTGCACATCCCCCGTCGTTTTTTCGTCTTGAGCAGCACGCTTCGAATCAATGAGACTGTCAAATTAACGTTCAGATACTCGTACAAAGCGTAAATCGTCGGTATCAACAGGAATTGAGGTTTTACTCTCTTCATAGAAACTAGCGAATCTTCTTTACGATCGTTGTTATAAACATAAACGCCCGTCAACGTCATATACTCCTTTTTCTCAATTGCCTCGTGTCATCGCGTCGTTGGGCTAAGAATTTGCGAATCGAAGAATATTTATTCCTAATTCTTCTTTCACAAAAACCAGTAAATTTTACACAATTAATGTTCATGAAAAAACAATAGATCCCACAGAATAATATAATAACATCTCTTTGAATTACAAAAGATTTTTACAAGTTCTTTTGTTACTCGTGCTTTCTAATAAAGATATTTTCGTCATAGAAAATCTCTTTGTTCGCAAGGTCTGTAGTTGGACGCGTATCTCAACGGTTCGATCGATCGATTGGACGTTAAAACGCATCCATACTATATGTCATTCGAATAAATTAGCGAGTATCGTGCGTAACACCAAAGAGAATCGTAGTTTCGAAGTTACATTCCTTCGGAGTGATATCTTCGATTCTACCAAATTCAACAGTGAAAGGATTTTATACTACCTGTCTGTTCCGAAACAGAAGAATATTCGTTTGAAACCGCCATTATGTCAACGCGACATTTTTTAATAAAATTGCACCGAATACAGGAGACGCATTTTTTGTTGTTATTTAAAATCCTTTAATAGTATCTCGTATAAAAATGAACAACTACAAAATACACGTTTGAAAACTACAATAAAATCCATATATAAAACGGAATAAAATAAACGATTTTTTAAGGTAAACGAAAACACAGGTTACAGGTTTTACGCAACATTGACAAAAATCATCAAATTACTTGTTTATGATTCGTCACAGATTACATTGGCCATAATTGTGTCTAGTCAAGTCACGATTGGGATTAATTGCACAGCATGATCTTTGCCGTTATGCCAATTACCATCTGCACGATCGGCATTACGATAAAACCGAATATGAATACTAGACAAATGTATACACTGAACAATTCCGTCATGAACACGAAGAACCGTACCATCCTCTGACGGAAGTCCCTACTGCTCCTTATACTGATCACTTTGTCCAAAACGAATCGTATTACGTACAGAAATACCTTAAACAGACATCGATTTACAATTTCGATCGTTCGTACAAAATGAAATCACGATATTCCATTAAAAACATAAAAATTCCTACTTTCACATCCGTCTAGAAAATTCGCTAATTGTTTTAACAATACCTCCACAACAGGAATGATGTTCAGCATTACATATAAAAGAGCAAGGAGAGATCGACCGGTTGCCTGGCCCATTATCTTGATCAGCGACGCGAAAGAATATTCTGTTCTTGGAATGCCGTAAGACTCCTGATAATTGGCTATGTACTCCCGAATAATTTGCAAGTAATTTATTTTATCTTCCGCCGAATGTTTACTGGGATCGTCGATTTTTTCGCAAACGTCCCGTGGCAAACTTGTGGCAACGTTATTTTCTGCGAAAGATCGATTATTTAATATATTTATTTTTCGATTTTGTAACAGGTGAGTTTGACAATGTCACCGTAAGTGAAAGTGGATTGATGCCATTGCTCGAAATCCGAAATACTGTAAAGATTCTTCTTCTTCCAATCGGAGCACGCAGGATCGTTGACGATTTTTCCTGGCGAACAGTGCTCCTCGATCGTGTTTTTCTCGTACTTCCAGTCGCCTGATTTCTGGTTTAGAGTACTGTCGATGGTACTCAAAGTACTTCCAATCGTTCTCCGTTTATATTTGTCCGTCGAACGTGGACAGGCATTGCACGTGAAGTGACTTTTCGTGTAGCTAGTCCCTATCCCGGATTTTTCTCCCTCAAAGTACTGATAAAGATTTTAATAAAATATTAAGTTTAATAATTGAGTAATTCTGTTATCGAAATATAATGAATTTAAGATTGGCACACGAATTAACACTATCATCCGTTCAAGAACACTTCCTGCACTTTGGTTTCTAATAGTAATAATATTTTGATATTTAAATATTCCATTGTAATTGAAAGCTCCACCGGAATAATAACCTTTCGCGTGAAAAAGTATTAAAAAAGTTAAAAAGGTTTATAATTCAATTTCTCGTTTACTTGCTGATTATGAAAAAGACATTTATTTTCCAGATGCCACTTCTTGTTATAATCAGACTTTGGTATAAAATCGAAACTGTTCTGTCTCTGTGTATCTTTCATGTTCAATGAACAGGACACACGGATCGCACTTGGACCTCCCTCGGTACGCATCATTACTAATTTTTCCAGACGACACACGACTTTAAACACCGATTACAATTTTGTACTGTCGCAACGACGAAAAAAAAAAATAAAATATCAATTAATTTTCATGTCTGTCCTCTGACCGAACGGAAACACGTGTGAAATTGTCTGTCATCATAGTGTCACCTGACAACGAAGTATACATGTATATACTATACTCCTGTAAATCGAGTGTACTCGATTTGATTCGGACATCTACAAAGTTGCAGCAAAATCAACTGATCGCTCAAGGTCACCGAACAGTTACCCCCCTCCCCCCTTCCCTTCTATATCGTTCGGTTACATTTCCATTCGACACCCACAAATTAATAGTGCAAACAGACGATATGATTGTTCGGGTTTAAACTAAGGAAAAGTGGCCTTGAGTGACCAATTGAATCTCATCCGCCTATCCGCGGCGGAAATAAATAGCGCACGGCAATTATTCAATAGAACTTTATTGTCACGTGACTAACAATAAGACAGCCGACAACGTGTGGAGCAGTTTCATGAGAAACTGCCGCCGATTACAAACGTTTATACAAATTCATTAACTCTCACGTTCACCGAGCTACCACGTGTGATGCAAAGAGGAACCCGGGGTGGAACAGAAGTGACATTACAAACCGCAAAACAAAGAGGAGAAACATCACCAGGGGCACATGATCGGTTTTTTTTTCTCTTCTTTTCTCGTCGCCATTACAGAAAATCGATCTTGCGTAGACTCATTACGACGTCGAGCGTCATAAAAAAAAAGGGGTCGGACTATTTCTCGGCTCGATTTCGTAGCATCGTACCAGCTAGGATCCACTAAGACTACAAATAATATATATCTCTACACATTTCGACCGGGGTCGGTCTCTCGGTACACTTTCACACTCATCACAGTCGCGCATCTCACTATTTTTAATCTTAAGCTGTGTGCACTGCGTTGTTGTTGGTTTCTTTGTTTTTCAGGATAGAAACGTCGGGAGAAGGGGGGGGGTGTGGGGGGAGTTGTTGACGAATCACAGCAGCCCCGGAGCCGATACGAAAACGGGGAACCGACATTCTCTAACTGTAAATGTTCGTGTAATGTTTTTGTTCCTTTTTCTGTGTATGTTTAAAGAGCAACGAAAGCACGGGTTACGCCGAATAGACACCACGGCCAGACACGTCAAGGTGCGCTCGTCCGCTTTGGCGTTTTACATTTACAACAAGTAGTGCGAGGAAATTTCGAAGCGTGTATAGCCGCGTGGAGTAAAATTTGTATTTCGTTCTCTCTTCTTCCTTTTTGTACAGCAATTCCTGTCGCCACTGCCGCGCCCGGGGGAAAACACGTTCTGGAGGACAACGATCGTATGCGAGGTATACTCGGTATCAATCGGAGAAGTTTCCATATTGTTTTGTTTTTTCTTTTCGATCCTTCCACGAAACCGGGTTTCGCTTCTCGACGTTTGCACGCGCTTGCACGAATTTTCGAATAAATACGTCCATGCGGCGGGACAAAGGAGGGGATTCGCGAACACCGTGACTCGGGTTCGACCATAAATCTTGAAAGACTGAGGAGAGATACCGAAGTCTTTTTTTTTTTTTGTTTCTGCACGTTTACAACATGCCGAAACCTTTCGAATAGTTGATCGCTTTCAGCAGACGATCCTGCAATTTCTCTATCGTGCTGTAGTCTGGCAACAGTAGGATGTTGAAGCACGTGTGTGCTATCGGTAGCCTGAAATGTCGAACGAATTATTCGCATAACATTATTTATTGAGAACTAACGTCACAGTCCGCCTTTCAATCGTTCCGAAGTCATACCTATCGGAATCTGGACCGTGTCTGGCAATAACCATTTTAAGCCTAGACAGACCGCCAACCGGTACTCTGTCACTTCCAGTAGTGAACTGTAACAGTCTTCGTTGACTTTCTGGTGGCAACGAATGAGCAACGCGCCAGAAATTACGTATTGCCTCGCTGTCCACGGTGTAACCGCCCTCATACTCTGTCGCTGCTTCCAATTCCGCGAAATCGAAGATTTTACTACCGCAAACAAGCTGCAAGAAAATAAGGTTAGAACAGGAAGGAAGAAATACTTTGAGGTTATGGCTGGTGTAGAGGACAAACATGCAAGTGAGTACATACTTGCTCAATTTCTTCGGGTCTGAAAAGTAACGCAAGCGGACTCTCATCCGTGACCATTTGGAATCCACGTCTGAACGCCTTGAATTGTCTTTCTACTGATTTATTAAGTAAAAAGTCCGCATAGAGATCCACAAATTCTTTCTTGTTTTCTTGCGTCACGAATAGTTCGTCGCCGTTTTCTTTGAGATCGTGGAAAGATATCGAGCCAAAGACATCCCTAAAATATCATAGAAGTTATTAGTTTCTTAATTGTAGATTATAATAGTATTCGTTGGTTTGATTTGAAACGTACTTGTAAGCCACTTTGAAGGTTTGCATGAATGTTTCTGGCATGTCATCTCCAGTGTATTCTATCAATTCTTTGAGTGTCCTATACAATGTAGGACTCCAATCTTCCAAATCGGCGAAGCTGCCTTTCCTACCAAGCAATTTTCGATACACAACCATTGAGAAACGTACGTCGAGAATTACGTTGTTGTATATCGCTAGGCCAAGGACAACGCCTATCAGCGTAAAGTGTGCGTCACTTTCGAATGATGTTGGGTTAAACCATGTCATTTGTGTGTCTTCCTATAAAAAAAAAACATATATAAATATGTAATGAATATATCTATTTAAAAGCTTTTAGTGTTTCTTTTCAACTAATTCCGAATTACCTGAGTTGTAAACATGCCATAATCAGGATTAAAGATTTCTTCTACAATTAACTGAAAGAACTCCTTGGAAACTCCACCTTCATCGACTCCCTGTTCACCCTCGAATTCAACGACTAATTGTTTCTTAAGGTCTGATGGATTTTCCATCGCGATCATTTCCAATTCCACTAATGCATCGTCTATTAGACGATCTCTCCTTACCTACGTCGAAAAGTAGTTAACAGGATAAGAAATTATTAATAAAATAATTCACTCTACCTTATTCTACCTTCGTCTCACCTTTAGTTTTAAGTATGGATTTGTAGGTTGACCAACCACAGTCTGCAAAAAGCTCATCCGTCGTTCACTGTACATTCTGATACGGTTATCGTAATACAAGCCCAGTGTCTTCGTAGCAGGCGTAAGGATAAAAGCATAATTCATAAAACTAAACTTCATCGGTTCCTCGCTTTTATAATATGCAAAGTCTTTGTCCATTTCTATGGCGTCACTAAGAGGTTCATTATAGAAGTCAGTGAATGCTATAAATGGCTTCCTTGCATCTAATGCGGTAATGCCAAGTTCTTTTGCTAGGGGATCCTTCATAAAATTGAAATTATTGTCAGTATTGATATAGTAACGAATTTTATCAACTTTCTTTTTTACATGATATTACCTGAGGAATTTGTGACGATCTTACAGACTTATCTATACCAACAGATTCGGCGTCTTCATCTAGATGCAATTCAGGTTCGTCCAGTTCACCGGCCAGCATACTCGCGTAGTATAAAATTTTCATAACTTTCGTAGGGGCTGTAATAGTGTCTGCATCTTGGACGCAATAATCTCGCGTAAAAGAACCTCCTATCACCTTTACAGTTATCAACTCCTGCAGGGCCTGCAAAATACTCGGTAGCCGAGATTTACAATGCTTTGCCCATACGCGCGCCAGTTTAGCTTGTGCAACGATAGGAAAGCAGCTGAGCGCTTTACAGAGCATGTGAAGTGCGAGCTCGAGGTATTCGCTGTTTCCTAGCATTGGAATTTCAAATACAATGAGAAATACATTCAATAGACTGTCCATATTATCCCATGGCATAATGCGGAATACCCTCAAATCTAATTCAATGTTGTCTGCTAAAGTCACTAGTGCATTGACCAAAGCAGATTCAAATGCTTCTCCTGAGGGTAAAAAGAATGAATAGATTACGTTCGTAAAAATCACACGATACAGAACGGATAATTACCTGGCAATGACCACAGAGCAGCGAAAGCTCTCCGAACAGCTGGCAGGTCAACGCTAGTGTCATCATTATTAGGAACTGTGGGTGATGGTTCACTGCTATCTTCTTCTTTGTCCTCTCCTTGAATGGATCGAATTGCTTCCTTATCCATATCACCGGGGGGCCTCAACAAGCTGTCCGATGCTCTATCAAGGAGCGCAGCCAGTGGTGAGTCATTTTTCACTGTCTTTTGGAAACTGAGACTCAACGCTTTTGCACACGAAAACACTTCGCCCAATGTGCGAATTAACAGCGAATACGATCCCTCTGATTTACATCTGTCTATTATGTCAAGAAGTTTTGCTTCTGTGAGATATGGATCCTGCTTTCCTGTTAATAGCAAATTAATTTCATTCTGTTATCAGTATTTTTGTAAGTGATTTAGTTATAATAATAAGTAATTGATAATGAAAACTTTTCTTTACGTTATAAATTATGTTTCTACTTTAAATAAATAAAAAACAAGAAGTAGGAATGAAACATAATATTTATTAGCATGTATACAGCGGCCACACAAGAATTTAATAAATATTTGCAATTCAATTTTTTACAGAATAATTTCTTAAAAAACGAGGAAAATTATTTGATATTTGTAGGATAGCGTGAGTATTTTTCCTTTGCTAAGTATTTGAGGTACAAATTAAGTACCAATAATTTTGTTACATAACGAGAAGTGTTTTTAAATTGTCTCTTAGAGGATACGTTCATTGTATGCGATGACTTCTTCTTTTTTTTTTGCATTCTTGACGGTCTTTTCACATTTTTTTGGTGTTTGTTACGTGTTTTAATTGGACTATCATTATAATTTGGAATACGAATATTACATCTATTTATTATTGCCAAAAGATGGTCTCCATCTGAGAATATTCTTTCATTAAAAACTGAAGGAACATATGTATGATTTGGTTTACAAAATTGATATGGTTGAGGAACTGTTCTTGTTTTGTTCATGGGAATCAAACTGAAATCTTTATTTAAAGTAGGGTCTATTTGAGCTCCAGTCTCTTTCACCAATCTGCCATTAGAAGAACTTTGAATATTTTGGTAGGATAGACCTTTAGAAAAAGGTTTCAATTTATTTAGAACTTTAATCTTTTTATCCCCATCTACAGGGAACTTTATCAAATCATTCACTAAAGGAACAGGATTTCTCCTGGTATTTGATGCAATACCTTCTTCCGAACATGTTGGATTTACACTTTTAACTGGTAAACTCTTTGCCAATGATGCAGGACCTGGTTCTAAAGTTGTTCGAGCTACTTTGCTTGGTTGAGTGCCATCGCAGAGCCTAGCTTCTTGTGAAAACAACTGAATAGCTTGCGCTGCAGCTTGATTTGGAGTGAGATTTGTTACCTGTTTGAAATATAAATTACATCAGTAATGAGAAAATGAAAGTGTTTTCCTGATTAGACTGAAATGGTTTCAAATACACACTTTGCCACTTGATGCACAGTTTTGATTGTCACAGTCAGGATTACCGCATCCATCAGTTAACTGATAAAAATATCTTTCAATCAACTTCTTAGCAACTGCACGCTTCATGTCGCTGCAAGGGCTCTCTGCTCCTACCCTAATAATACAATAACAAAACATGGTAATTACTATTTATACAATTTAAAGATGTCCTAAAGCATTAACAATTCATCGACTATTGATGCTTATTTTATAATATTCCACATGTTTATGTAAAAAAGCATATGTACGTGTTAAATCCTTTTCAATGTCAAGAATTATTAATGTATGCCTACATTAACATTGGAAATGAACTATTGTTAGGTATAACACACATGAGAACTACAAACTATATAGATAAGTATTAGTCACGAGTGTTATATGTAAAGATTAGAATTTCCAACATCCTGCAATCAAGTCATGAGGAAATCTATTTCGACACTGACAACTATAGATGCAAATAAAGGTGTCTACTCAAAATCCTCAATATATTTGTCAACCAGACTTAAATGTCATTGTAAACAGGCAAGACCAAAGTAATACAATCATACAAGCCAGATCCCAATAATCGCAATTCATTCAATTAGGAACACATGGTGGTGACATGTTGAGAGCAGTGATTCGCGATGTTGCCAGTTCAAGTGGGAATGACAGTTCAGAATGAAACGGGGGGTTCTCGAGGTCGGATGGTGCGACGAGTCGTTGCACCAAAACAAAGCGCGTTAAAAATAGCCGGGGTCTCGTGAATTCGTAACGATATTACGTTTCGCGAAAATGCGACGTAAACAAATTCTGGGCTAGCATAAGGAACCACGATAACAGTGGAGAATAAGAAACGCGATAAAGACACGAGGACTATTCTAGACCCATGATATCGTCGGGGGACATCGATGTCACCTGGAAGCGTGATCTTCCCCAGGGTCCCGTTGGCCCTTGGCGCTCATAGACCGTGAGTCCACGAAATTTTGCCTCCTCCGTCGTCGGCCGTAAAAGAAAATCTCTCCACGACCGCTTCCACTCTGCGAATTGGAGTTACGCCGAGCACTTGCTCGCTAGCACTAAATTTGGTCAGCGGCTTCGCCACGATGCTTCCAAACTATGTTTCACTGTACGTATTACGCACTACGTGGTTGTACACTTCGAAATAGAATAGTACAGGCAAGACAGGAGTGAATAGACAGAAACTGAAGGAGAGAAAGAGATAAAGAAAGATAGGGATAGAGAGAGAAAGAGAGAGAGAGAGAAAGAGAATCGCAGTTCGGCTTGTGGCTCGAGGTATATTTGTCCGTAACTCGAAACGAACAACGTTCCCGTCGAGGTTAGGTATACACTGTACGACGACTGCGCGACTAGTAATGTCTGTGGATCGCGTGGCTTGTCGACCCCGTTGATACGCGAATTTTTCAAGTCAATGTCAGAACACCGTGGGAGAGAGGAAAAACGAATCGGTTCGCGGCCCCTTGGCTGCCGTCTACTGTTCAACACGGACACGACCAGCTGCGAGTATCGAGACTGATTCGATTGATCGAACAAGACGTCGACATTTCTCGAACATCGACCACTCGACGTAGATTCGACCCTGGATCGTGCGGGAAAAATACGAATTCCGATGACTGTGCGATTTGGATATGAAATCTCGTTTGTTCGTTTTTCAGCGTTATGTAGATTCTCGTGATTCCACTCGACGATAGCGATTTAAGTCTGATTTACAATATACGTTTAGACAAGGAATGGCACCGAAACGATTTCGTTCAAAGACACCGAACGTTTGCACAATACAAATTTTCATACAACAAACGCATTCAAAGACTTTTCGTGTATTCAATGGAATCAATGAAAATGACAGCAATTGCGGAAAACTGATGATTTAATTAATGAATAATTTAATATGATAATGTACGTTGACCTGATCCATTCCTAAGTGTTTAAATTTCTTCCAGGCTACGAAACTTCTGCGTTAAGTACAATATTGAAATTAAAAAATTAATATCTTTTAAGTATTTTATTTATTTACGAATTATCGAATTATTTTAATCAACCATGTTACTAAGAAGATGTTGATTAAACAATGATTCTTTTTAACAGTATTTATGTTTTCATCGTTTAATACCAGCAACAAATCTGTTCAACGATCTAGGTCAGGTTACGTAACTATAGTTCTTAACAGAAAAGTTAGCTAATATCTTAAAAAACTATTCGAGGGAAACCCCTGCATTATTTACGGAAAACTGACTTTTCGATCGTTTCTGTACACCACATCAGCGAAGTTCTTTAAAGGGAATATCGATTTTGCGCTAAATCCAGCGCACGTTATACCGCAGGCGATTGATTATAATCCTTTCCCTGATTTCGCGGGAATAAGTAAATGAGGGCCAAGGTGGGAGAGGGAAAAGGGGGTGGTGGCAAGACATTCGATAATTTCTATCGGTTCGGGTTGAATATAAAGGGGAAATTGAGCTTTCGGTGGCGAAACGAGGGACTGACGTGAACAGGAAACCATTAGTTCACAGCAAAAAGGGTGAAATTATCGGTGCCAAGCTGCGCCATTTGCCGAGCAGACGTGCGAATAAAGCCGCTCCCTCGGTCACACCTACGTACATATGCATATCGCGTTTTATTTAAATTCATTCCTGCCACTTTCACGTTAATTGCGATACCAAACACACGCCTTCGTTCGAAAATTTTCAGACTCCATTAGCCTTACTATCCGTTCTCCGGAAATAAAAGTCACGATACCATACATCTTATCGCGAAATCAATCTGGGTTGTTTTTGTGAATTCCAATATGCTTTTCGCGTGACCATTGCGGTTGCAAAATTCGTCAAGGAATATATTTTAATGAAATCACTTGGTGCTCGACGTTTCGTATGTTTCAGAGTCTTAGGTTGGTAAAGTAATCACTGCTCGGTGTAATTTTTAAAGCATTATGACGCACGTAAGTCGAAGGTACAGTAAGATATGCAAATTAAAAAACCAATTTGCTTAATGATTTTCACGAATTTGTTACGCAACTTGTTGTCTTTGCATTTTAAGTGGATTGCTCGTTGGGATTAAAAATGAGTAACTTCTTATCACTTTATTATATTCGAGGTGTGCATTCTTTTTATTTCGTGAAGATTTTTTCCGCTTTTCTTCTTGTCGATATATTATGGTTATAATTGTTTTCGAGTTGATTTCAGTTTTTTAAATATATTTTTATGTCTTTAACCGTAGAAAGACTGATCGACCATCCATTATTTACGTATTCTCTTTGATGACTTCACCTTTATCGGACGACGGACGCGTACAAGTTCACGGCGAGGGATTGTGTACACAACGAAGGGGGGAGGAAAGCGTAAGTTGGAATACCAGTTACCAACTTCTTAACTTGACAATGTAATTTAAAGTTTCAGAAGATCGTTCCCAGCGGAGATAGCTCGGACCATTTAGCTGGATGATCGAGAGCCGCTGATTAGACAGAAATCGGTGCTCCAGCAAGCAGGGTGTCATCAGTAATTTGGTGCCAAGCCAACTACTCGAGATTTTTCGATGATACGAGGCTATATCCATGTTCGATCCGAAATACGTCAAAGGTTCATAACGTTGTCTCTGCGATAGATATCCCGAGGAAAATGTTCGACCAGCTCTCTCCAACACCCTCCTTTAATCTTTTAACAGCCGATGGAAGATCAATCTCACATACCTACTTCAAAAGAAAATGTAGAACGTTGGTAAATACTTAATCAATCGTGGGATTGAAGTGGAAATACTTGTTAAAAATTCAAGAATTAATTTCACGATACTTCGGAACGCAAATATCTACAGTGGGTGAACAAATTATGAGAATTACAGTATGCAAATACATCTTTTTTGTGTTTGTGTAGAAATAGTCGTCATATCAAGGCTTTTACACTGAATAATTGCAATCAATAATTGTCTATTAAAAATGCACAAAAACAAATGAATTTTGAGCTTACGTAATTACAAGAAATACAATTAAAATTGTAAAATTGTCAATTCATGCCGGTGTTTATAATAATTTGATCACCCATCGTATATTGTGGTCACATAATTATTTCCTGGCACAGCTCCCGTACACCCTACCGTGTTGTTAAAGATGCAGCGATTCTATAAAAAGAACCCCTGTCACCCCTGTTGCGCTGTACTTCGATCCGATTGACTCTGACAACAGTGTCGGAGGGGAAGGAAAATTATCGACGGTTTTTATATTCCGTTCGGTTTTGAATGTTGACATATTTCTCTTAAAAATGAACATGTTTTCAATTCATTTTTATTATTCTTATCCCGTGAACGTATGTTCCACTATATAAACTTCGATTATAAAAATAAAATATCATTACAAATGTTTAAATTATATTAAAATTGGATATAGGTATATTTCGGAACACCCACAAAGCTGATGTATCGACTTCAAGGTACTAAAAGGGTTAAGAGAAACTTTTTTCCATGAAAAATTAAAATTCTTCACCCGAGTACCATTTCTCTCCACGCTTCCCCAATGAAATCTCTGCGTTGAATTCGGCCGATTTTCCGTATTTTAATTATTAAAAATATCACCGTTATCGTCGCCACCGGCGGCCATTTTGAGGAGTCCGGACACGATAATACCCAGCCGGAACGGATGCACTCGACCGAGATCGCGAAAGGAAATCGTTAAACCCCCGCAAGGTCCCGGCTTCGATTCACGATGCAATACGGGGCGAATGGGGGAGGGGGTGGAAGAGGGAGAAGGAGAGAGAGAGAGAGAGAAAAAACACCGATCTGTCCGATTGAAATCTAATCCGACGCGTTCCCCGAATATAACGAAAAACCGTTCCGGGGGAACACTTTGGATCTGCGGAACGCGGCCGAGACAATTGTTATCGTTATCGTCCCCGGGCGAGGGAGAACCTCGGACACAGAAGGCCCGTGGTAAACAGAGTCCATTTTTCTCGGCCGAAAAGACAGGGGGTGTGGGGTGGATGGGCGAGGGAGGACGATAGAGATCGGGAAGCAGAAAGGTACACGGATTTACAGGACCAGGGGTCGCTTGATAGGGGATGAAGCTTCTGCTTGGATGCGGCCGAGTTTCGATCAAGGCCAACTTTGCCATTCGTTTGCCACCGTTCCCAACCCCCCTTTCTACACGCCTCTGTCGTCTCTTCCCCTCGTCCCTCTTTCGTTTCCTCCCTGATCTCCGCTACCCTACTCTGGCGCGGTTCTCTTTCATCCTACTTTTATTCTCATCTTTTATTCGCCACCCCTTTCCCCCCCCCCGACAGTTAACACTTTTTTTTCCCCTCGTCGTTCTCTCGCCTATCATTGTGCAAGTTCTCGCCCCCTGGCCTACCCAACCCCCTTCTTTTCCGCTTTGACTCCTTCGTGTTTTTTGTTCCTCTTATCTCTGTATTTTTTATTTGGTTATTTTACTGTTTGTTACGGATGTGGGGTTTGTAAGTGAATTATAGTAGATTGCTTGGAGATGCATGTGGTTTTATTGGAGAAAAGAAGAAGACTTTTTTCTTTGGTCTCGAACTCCGCGATGATGCGACGGGATAAAGGGGATGAATTAGTGAACGGGGATAGTTTTGGAAAATGGGACAAGACACGTTTCTTTCTTGGACCCGGAGAGATAGATGGGCTTGAGGTCGGTTAGGTTGAATGATTTAGTAGGCTCGAACTTCTTTCTCGTTTCTTCAGATGCATCCTCCGATGTATCTTGTCCGTTTAACAATATTATTACCCCAGTCCGTTTAACAATATTATAACCCCAGTATTGAGACTGGTCCAATAGAAGGTAAATTTTATTAATTCATACCATTCAAATTAATTTTATACCTTTGAAAGTAACCCTCTGCCACTGCAATACACTTGTCCCAAGTTCTCGAAGAAGCTTTTACAGTCAATTTGAGGTACAACCCTTCAGAATGAGCAGCGTTTTTTCTTTTATCTCATCTGTCGATTCGAAACCGTGTCCATGACGAGATCATTTCTGCTTGGGGAATAAGAAAATGTCACACGGTGCCATATCAGGTGAGTACGCAGCTATGAAAATCATCCTTTATTATTTTCTTCGCGATTCCGACGACTTGCAACTTTTTTAACATTTTGTTAACACATCATTTAGTACACTAATACTTCTAACTCCACAAAAAAACTCAAGTCACTTGCTACAATTTTGAACGAGTTGTTCC